TCTCAGGACTCAGGCTTCCTGTAAGAGATATAAAGTATATCAAAAGTTTAATGTAATTGCAAAATACAAATACAGCGAAGACAATATCTGCTTTCAAAACTCTCAGGGCTGCCTATCATCCTAAAAGTAATAAGAGGAAAGAATGATAGTAGTAATAATAGAAAATAAATAAATATAAATCAACAGGGATTGAAAATTATATTGAAGACTGTATCAAGTCACAAGTATTCTTATTGTTGAGACAGTTAAAACACACACATTAAAGCAGACAGGATTATAAATAGTGTGTATGTCAGTTATAAAAAGGGGGAAAAAGAGAACCCCTCATTCAGACCATTGGGACTCAGGGTCTTCAATCGATAGATCCAGAAACATTCTCTTTGTCTGAGGAATCGGTCATAGTCACCTCGTCTAGAGTTCTTTTTGACTAGTTCTAAGCCACAAAAACGTAACTCCTTAGGGTCGCTGTTGTGATGTTCACGAAGATGCCTAGAGATAGGGGTTTCGGCTGAATATCTGATGGATCTAATATGTTCTTGTATACGTTTCTTAAAGGGGCGGAATGTTTTGCCTACGTATTTTTTGTTACATTCACATGTGAGTAAATATACAATCCCTGATGTATTGCAGTTGAAGAAAGAGGTTACAGTAAAAACCTCTTTCTCCATACTGTCTTTAACTATTTTGGACTCTTTTTTCATGAATTTACATGAAATGCATCTCCCACATCTGTAGGTACCAGTCAAACGAGTCTGGAGCCATGTTGTAGATGATGGGGTTTCGGTTTTAAAATGACTTGGGGCTAAGAGATCTCGTAAATTTTTACCTCTCCGAGCTGTAATGGAAACATTAGGGGCCAGTACTTCTTGAAGGTGCTGATCATTTGTAGGCAAAGGCCAGAAACGTCTAAGGGAGCTCTTGATGTTTTCCCATCCCGCATCATAAGTGGCAATTAGACGTATGTTATTCTTGGGAGTCTCTAATGATTTAGGGGTGTCCCCACTCAATAAAATATTGCGGTCGGAATCAAGTGCTCTCTGGTATGCACGTTTGAGGCATCTATTAGGATAGCCTTTGGCTTTAAAATGACCTCTTAGTTCTTTTGCCTTAATTTTGAATTCATCAATAGTGCTGCAATTACGTCGGATCCTAAGGTATTGGCCCGTCGCAATGCCCATTTTGAGTGGTATTGGATGAAAACTATCCCATCTCAAAAGGTTATTAGTTGCCGAGGGTTTTCGATAGAGGGTGGTCTGTATTTTATTTTCAGTTGTTATAGAAATCGTTAAATCCAAAAAATTTAGACTTTTATCCCCAAATTCATTCATAAATCTGAGGTTTTCATCATTAATATTCAGGATACGCACAAACTCATTGAACTCTTGTAGATCCCCTAACCACACTATAAACACGTACCATACATTTCATTCCGTCCCCCTAGGTTAGAGTACTGGCAATAGGGTCACAGGCTTCCCAATAGGTATTTACCCCGTCTTGGCAGTCGCCATCAGTTAGTGGTCCCGCGAGGCCAACACCCCGCCTCAAACATTTCAGAGGCAAACACCCATCGGGCCACACGTTAGCTAGCCGCCTCGCATGTTGCATAGAGAGGGCCTCACCTGTCACTCCCTTCCCCTGTTTTCTGTCTTACAGTCACCGAGAGGCCTAAAACTCCTGCCACTACGACGAGTGGCCTCAACGCATAGATAGAGCCTCTCAAGCCGCTTGGCAATTAGCAGAGCGTCATCTGTCACCAAACAAGTATAATGTTTCGCCATCCGGCCTAGCTAGCCTGCCAGTACAATTTGGTGGTTTCATATACTAATTAATTGTTTTATTTATAGTATGTCTCAGGAAGGGGTAGAGGATTTCTCCCTGCCTAGCACCCCGGCTTGAGCTGTCACTCCCACACAAGGAGGAGAGCTAGCTAGTCCAGCATTGATCAGATCCTTGACGATCCCACGTATAACCACAGAATTGAGGAGACGACAAATCCCCTACCCCGATACAGCAAGGAAAGCAGAACTTTTCAAACTGCTACGCACATCTACAAATAACATGGATGCCGGGGAAGGACCTAGCCAGTCCAACCCCGGAGACATACATGCCATGTTATCCTCACTCATGGCGTCCATGAGCAAGGTCAACTCCAGGCTGGAGAAACTTGAGTCGGTCACCACGGCCCTTACTCTAGCAGGGCCACCCGTTGCTGCTTCACAAGCACAAGCCGACTTGCCATTAGTTACTCC